ATTTAGCAGAGAAAAGAGGAGATTGTTGGAAATGGCTTACAGGAGGAGGCAGCAGGTGCCATCATCTTCGTCATCAACATCAAGCCCAAGCTTTCGATTTGAAGAAGAAGAAGAAGAAAAATCTCGGTACCCACTGCCTCCGCCGCAGTCCGATGATTCGCTTGCGGCCAAAGCTATTCGAGCCTCTTCGGCACACCGCGACTCTTCTCTCTCCTCTGCTTATGCCGCTCGCGGTGCTCAGCCTGCTGTCAACTCCTCGTCACCTTCCCGATTTTCCAACCCCCCCACCACCACAACCACTGCGTCGTCTTCTCCCTCACAGGTCTAGGAATTCACATGCTTTATGCTGTTTTCATTCGTGAATTGGCTTCTGTGTTGCATCTGATGTGGTTTGATTCTACCCATTTCTTGCTTTCGCTGCTACTTGCAAGCTCCAATGCCTTTTTATCTGTTGTGTTTTGTAGCCACATCAGTATACATCAATAAAAAACTTGAATGAATCCAAACATGGGTTTTGGGGTGTACTTGCTAGAAAAGCCAAAGCCATTCTCGACGACGACGAGGATAATGCAGCTGAAAATTATGATTCTCCTGGAAGAACAAGGGTGGACATGCCTTCTACACCAACAAGGGGTAAGGTGAGATAATCTTCTTCATCATATCTTATAGTAGCTTGGCATTTTCCAAAGACGTGCAGTTGCTGCTTTATTGTTAATTCATCATTTAGTTGTGTATCTGCGGACTTTTAGTATCTAATGACTAAGTTGTATATCTACCAACTATTTGCAGCAGTATCGTGATCCAAACCAACATGTTGAGAGCCGTGGAAGGACAGACAATCCGACGTTACAGAAGGGGTTGGGTGCATTCACATCATCCCTTAGTTATATTAGTGGAACCATTGGGACTGCGTTGGAGGTAGGCATTGCACAAGCTATATTAAAGTGAATTTTGAGCTTTAAATGGTTTTCCCAGGCTGTGAAAAGTAATCCCACTATTTTGCCTACTGTTTCATTCTATTTTCTGAAACATAGTAACTTGTCCGTGTGTAATACATAAGGCTAATATGAATGGAACAATTACTCTGTGTGTGTGTGTTTGTTTCTGCACAAATTCATTGACTTTATGTTTAGCTGTATCCTTACTCTCGAATCAATTCAATAAATTGGTACTTACTATTTGATCATTTATGCACTGTTTGTGTTTCACCTTGACAGGAAGGTCGTACGATTGTTGAGAACCGGACTGCAGACATCATTCAAGAAACTCGTAAGCATATCAAGAAAAAGGCCAGTGGTTCTGCACAGAATCAGGCCCAAAAACCTCAGACGCAAGCTGACCTCGAACTTCAATTGAAGGCATCTCGCGACGTAAGGTGGCAACTTTTGTGTCACTGGTTGATATAATAGAAGTTATATGCTTGCAGCTGGAATATGAATAATGTTGAGATGTTGGAATATTTTAATTAATTTCCTCCTTATCATGCATGAAATCTGTTGAGTCTGGTATAGCCCTCTTTGTACAAATAATTAACACTTAATAGAATGAAAAGTTTTGGATGACTTTGATGCTCCATAATCTATAACCTTGCTATTGGGTTCACGTGTAGCATAATTGTTTGATGCTTACAGTTCACTTGTATAGTAAGATGCATGATTTGCCTTTTGTTTGCACTACAGGTTGCAATGGCAATGGCTGCCAAAGCAAAACTTCTTCTTCGGGAGTTGAAGACTGTCAAAGCAGATTTTGCTTTTGCAAAGGAGCGATGTGCTCAGCTGGAGGAAGAAAACAAAATCCTTCGAGAGAATCGTGAAAGGGGAGACAGCCCTGAAGATGATGATTTGGTATCAGTTTTTTTCTTTCTTCATTAGTAGTGTTTTTTGGTTTATTATCTTTCACATTGGCTTCTTCTTTTGAGACTTGAAATTATGTTTGGTTTACAATTTACCAACTTCCTTTCCCATGTTATATATTTAAAGACCTTATGAATAGTTTGAGCAGGACAAGAACCTCCTTGATACATTTCAATGCTTATGTGTAATGTCCTTTTCTATATGCATAATGACATTAGGTGCAATGTCTCTGATGCGAATATTTCCCTTTCAGATACGGCTGCAATTGGAAACACTTTTGGCAGAAAAAGCAAGATTGGCCCATGAAAATTCAGTTTACGCACGTGAAAATCGCTTCCTAAGGGAGGTTGTCGAATATCACCAGCTTACCATGCAGGATGTTGTATACTTGGATGAGGGAACTGAAGAAGTCACTGAAGTTTATCCCATTAAGGTACCTTCTAGTTTCTAGTTGAACTCCTGTCTCCATTACACTAACTATATCCGCTGTCATCTGCACTGCTTTTAGGCCGACTTTGACATAACTGTTCATTGACTCAGGTCATCCCTTCTTATTCTTCACCAGCATCAGAAGTCCAGGGAGTTTCCCAAAATTCTTCCCAATGAAGCTCTTCTATCCCCCTTTTGATGGCAACTGGAGATGTTTCTCTTTGATTGGCAAGGGGATATAATCTATACTTTCAACAAAGGCTTGAAGTTGTAGCAATATTATTTGTTGTTTGTAATATACTTTTTGCCATTTATTATCAGTCCTTCCAATTTGCTTGGCTGATATGTGTAGTTCATGCCCCATGAGCTTTAAAAACCTTGTTAACCTACAATGATAATTTATTTTGTGCTTGGGATTCAAAAATTAAAAAAAAAAAATTATGCATTTTGATAAATTGGCTTGTGGGTTCACACATGACACATGAAACATGGATGTTGGTAGTTTTTGAGTATTTGTAGACCAAAGCCTATTGAGAAGGGCAACTTATTCCAACAGGCTTGAATTCGAACGGAATTGAACAGACAGCCTGATCCCCCTTCTCATGTTTTATATTGCCTAAAAATTGAATGCTCTTTTGAACTCTGAGTTTCATCACATGAAATGTAAGGCTTTGGTCCTTTTGGTTTTGGACTAACAAGCCAAATGCTATCTATGATGTATTAAACACTACTGCCTGCTCTTGTGACATTTTACCGAAGCATTAATATCCACCAGAATCTAAAGCATGGCCGCCATATATGTCATTTTCAAGTTTTATTCATAACCTTGGTTATTGGTTATTGGTTATTACCCTGATGGTATGCCTTCAAACCACCTGTCCATAATCATCCAACGGATATGCTAAGCTAATGTCACATGTCCAGGTACGACTAACGTTAGCATAATTCTTTCGCTTTTAACATGCATAATCCAAATTTTCCTTTTTCCCGTATGATGTTTTTGTACATTTTGTTGTTAAGCTGTCAATTTAAACACATTCAAATATGAGAGTTTATAATTTCAGTAGTTAAGACAAAGACTTGAATCTACCACCAATTTTATTTTTTATAATCATAATCTAATATCACTTTAGTTTAAACTCATGGACATTCCCACCATCAATGATTCAGAATGAGATTGATAGTTAGGAAGGAAGCATAGCAAATTGTTTAAAAATAGAATATTTCCATATATAGTTAATACCTTCCTAATGCCAATTAAGCAACAACTTAAAGACAGATGTAATGTCCAAAGCTTGTGGACAGCTCCTAGCTAGCCATACATAGAAAATTTCATTCGGCGGCCTTCTTATGCATCCAAATAATTAATATATTAATTAACATAACCACAATTTTTTATTTTCCAAAAACACATTGATTATTTATTTAAAATTTTCTTCAACTTAAAGACAGATGCAATGTCCAAAGCTTGTGGACAGCTCCTAGCTAGCCATGCATAGAAAATTTCATTCGGCGGCCTAGTTATGCATCAAATAATTAATATATTAATTAACATAACCACAATTTTTTATTTTCCAAAAACACATTGATTATTTATTTAAAATTTTCTTCTTAAAAATACATGGTTGAAAATGAAGCATAGGATTCCTCTAAGGTCTAAGGTGTGTGCTAGAAAAAGTACATGGCACAGCACGTTTAGCCGGAGACAACAATGTGGGGATCAAAACAGACCATGTCACCCTTTGGGAGCCTCCATAAATTATTAAAATCATGCCCATCTTGCAATGCAAAACCCTTTGCTCCATTTCTAATATTTTATTTATTAATTATTATGTAACTATACAAAGTTTATTTGTCTTTGTGTATTAGTTAGTTATACCAAACACAGCTCATTATACCATTCACAATCAGTATACGAACTATATGGTTATTTTCGACCGTTGATGCATGAGAAATGTATAAAAAAGATTATGTATCAACGTTGCGTTGCGTGTAAGATTGTATTTGATATTTATTAATATTAATATTTGTACTCCATGAATGAGAAAAGGAATTTCGCCATTGTGTAGAGCCTTGGTCAAACTAGTTGCCATCAAAATCACGTAGTATGACCTCAAGTTTCCAAATACCAAGTTGTGGTTTAAACAGAAACCGACCTTATATTCCGAGAAGATGAAGACAACTTAACACTCCCATCCTCAGATTAAGACTATATTGGAATGTCATTATAACTCATAAGGGACCTAATTCAAATAAATAAATAAAAATCAAATTGTTCTTTATCGTCACTTACATGTAGTCGATTGAGAACCGAAAATAAATACTCTTAACCGTTTGAGCTACAAATTCTTTACAATAATTGATAGATAATTACCGATTATGAAAAATTAAATTTCAACTCTTAATTTTTAAAGAAATAGTAAAAGAAAATTTTTAAATTAAAAAATTGAAAGTTAAATTAGATGTAGGGGTGTTTAGACTAAATGATGCGAATATTCAAAGAATGAAGAGGAGAGAGAGCCCCACACCCTGAAAGAGCGTGGTCTCATTTCACAACTCACATGCTGGATCCGGGCCCACCCTGCGGCCACTGGGTCCCATGTCCGATGACATCTCCACAGCATCTGATTGGAGCACCACTCCACGCGCTCACTCAGCGTGTGTCGTCATTCGCGGTGCTCCTCCTGTCAGTCTCGGTGTGAGGTGTCAATCTTAAAATCTTACAGCAACGACAGAGAAGGAAAGAGCGAGAGAGAGGAGAGAGAGAGGGTCTCAAAATCTGAATGGAATGGCGTCCGCATCGCCTCTCTCTCTAGCTACAGCAGCAAGCAAAGGCAAAGCAAGACGCCATTAAAACCCTCTCAATTCTAAACCCCACCACCTCTGCCCACCATTACTTTTGCTCCTACCCAGCACAGTTCAAGCCTCACCACATCCCATTTACTAGTTTCTTTACCCTTTCGAGCTCTTTCCTCAGAGACCTCCATTGGAATTCAATGTCAGGTTCTTATGCTCAGAATTTCTCACCGGCAAGAGCGCTCTCTCCGCACCTAAGAACCCCGCCCGATGTGGATAGCCAGTACTTGACTGAGCTGTTGGCCGAGCACCAAAAGCTTGGACCTTTCGCGCAGGTCGTCCCCATATGTGGCCGACTCTTGAATCAAGGTTTCTCTTTTGCCCATGTTTGTTTTTGGACCAAGTCCTTTTTTCTGTGTTATGATTGTGATTTGGATTTGCTTTTGGGTGTTTTTAGGGCCCAAAGTTAAAATCTTTCTGCTTTTTTCTATGAACCCAATTGAGAATTCTGCATCTTAATAGCTGTCTGCTGTTCATTTCTGTATATGGGTGTTGGGTAATTGATGAATTATGAAAGCCATGGAAAGAAAGATCAGAATTTGTTGATACAGGAGAAAAGAATGTAGATTTCTCTGCCTTGCTTTGCTAGGATGTTTATTTGGTCCTTGAATTACTTATTATGAGCATGCTCTGCCCACCTTTGGTGGTTCAAAGTAGTCTTTCACACAACCTCCTCATCAAGGAGTGGGATGGAGATTAATGCTTTTGGATAAAATGGAACTTCTTTTTCCTCACAATATTGGAGTTGACTTGCATGTTCTATGTGTTTTGTTCTTTTTCATCTGCTTTCATCACTAATCTCTCCATTTCATCTGTGTTCTACTTGTCATATTGATTTCTTAAACTTTGCCAAGAAACTGATTCAATGCTCTATATTCTTGTTTCATTATATGATATATTGAGGAAGGGAAATGCTAAAGTTTGATTCTCTTCTATTTTTTGATAGAGATAATACGGGTTTCTGGAATGATGCCCAACCAAGGGTTTAGTGACTTTGACAGAATGCAACGTGGAAGCCCTAGCCCCATTGGTTCAGACATAATGCCAAACTATAGAGGGTCAGGCCTGGGTGGCTGGAACGGCCGACCTCACGATGTAAGTACTTGAAATCATGTTCTCTCTTATGTAACACCCTTAGTTTGCATCTCCGGTCTTCCATTTTTCATTATCTATAGCACAGTAGTGTATTGATTATTTTTCTTGCTGTCCCTTTTCTAATTTGTTTAAACTGTGTATGCCTAAATGAATTTCCCGCTAGATTTGTTGTATCTTGTATGTATGTATGTGCCTACCTGCTTAATTGGTATGCAAAGCATGGACGTCTGAAAAACTAGTTTAAATAATTGTACATGGCAATGTGGAACTGAACAAGAGGAAAGCATAATCAGGTCCTGAGAGATACTGACTAGTATTCTACTGACGTGGAAGACTTGGATCTTGCCTGAAGTGGGGTCAGAATGTGTAATGCAGTATTGGGAGTTTGGAAGTTGATTATGGTGGTCTTCTATCCACAGGTTGAGAGACAGTATTGCTTACTTTTTGTGGACTTGAAGACTGCCAAAACACTCTTATGTATCAGCCTACGACATGGTTTCTTTCTGGGTCAGTTATCCACTGACTTTTTCCAAATTCATCTATTTCCATTAGGTGGCTTTCTCAACTGTGAATTCATTTTGATCCAGGACATAGTCAAAGTGTGATTAAGGCAGGGGTGTCCGTAAATCCACTGGCTTCATATACCCTTAAATCCATTATTATATGGTAAATAGTGGAAGTTTCAGCTTTATAATATGGTTGAAGTTTATTAATTGATTTTATATACTTCGAAGCTATTTTATGTTAGTTGACAAGCTTGGATACCCCACTACGTTGAATGTTGTGTATTTTGATCTTTTTCTACGTTTATTTTATGTGGAATAGGCTACAGTTCCCCTATCTCTTTCTCAGTTTATCTTTTTATCATTATGTTTATGCTCCATTAATTCATTTTTTTCCACTTGGTATAGTTTCAATAGTTTGCCTTTGGTTGCATAATTGTAACAGAGATTAGGTGGTCCACAAGGGATGAATATGGAGTGGCAAGTCGCACCATCAAGCCCAAGTTCCTACATTGTGAAGAGGATATTGCGCTTGGATATTCCAGTAGATAGCTTTCCAAATGTAAGCCATGCATATCACTTGAGAGTGCGTTATGTGAGATTGCTATCGTAAATTCTAACTTTTAGATTTAATGATTAAAAAGAACCAAGTGTTAGTGTGCAGAGGCACACACACAGTTATTCTTTAATAAGGTTCTTAAAATAAGTACATGTGCCTCAATGCATCTGATTTCAGCCTTCACATATGATCTAACGAACAACTGAGAAATAAGTCCTTATTAAAGGATCTCTCTCTCTCTCTCTCTCTCTCTCTCTCGCACTTTTTGTGATACTAAAGCTTCTATTTTTGTAGTTCAATTTTGTGGGCCGGCTTCTGGGTCCTAGAGGCAATTCACTAAAGAGGGTGGAAGCTTCTACAGGTTGTCGAGTATACATAAGAGGAAAATGTTCAATAAGAGATATTGACAAGGTAGAATTATTCTCAGTGTGTTGTGTGCTTTAAATAAGAAGTTTTCATGATTTTAAATCAAGTTCTTTTTTCTTATTCTGTTTTCATTTATACTGTATGTTTTATGTCTCTTGACATATATTTCTTGCTTTCCCGCTCTCAAGGAGGAATCTTTGAGAGGAAGACCAGGTTATGAACATCTGAATGATCCACTGCACATTATAATTGAGGCTGAATTACCTGCTAATATTGTTGATATGCGGTTGAGACAGGCAAAACAAATCATAGAAGAACTTCTCAAACCTATGGTATATTTTCTGATTCATCCCTTTGGATTTTCAATACAAATATTGTTGCCTTTCCACTACAATGTATCATTATTCACAAGTACATATCACATGAATGATGAAACTGATTTTACCTTCCCTCAACATACAATATTTACTGGTTCAAAATAAATAGTATTGTATGAGGTTGCCCTTGATTCACATAAATAATGAATCTTGATTTTCATTTCAGGACGAGTCACAAGACCACTACAAGAGGGAACAGTTGAGAGAACTAGCTATGCTAAAATCCAATCTAAGAGAAGAGAGTCCTCAACCATATGGTAGTGTCTCTCCTTTCACTTCAAGTGGGATGAAGCGTGCCAAAACTGGTCTGTAACGGTTCATTTGACTCGTCTTCTCATTGGTTCTTCCTCCTGTACAACGCTTGAACTTTTTTGCCATCGAATGCTTCTCGGTGTATTTCAATCCTGTCTGCAAAGGAGGACGCGTTATGGACCTGTTTGGTGAGATCAATGCAGGGTTTTCTTCCATGACATTAAGATATACAGATGAACGGAGATATTCTTTTGTTATAGTTTTTTGTGGTTGTAGTTGATTGTGATTGTAGAAGTAGAAAAATTATGGCATATAAGTTATTCTTTATTTTGCTGAACAAGTATCCTGCTATTAACTTGACATTGTCTAAAACTCTGAAGTGGGAATATGCATCGATTGTTTAATATGTTTTACATTTGTGGGTGAATTCAGTTCTTTAAATGAGCTGTTTATCATGCTCCTTGGTAAACATTAACCCGTCTTGCAATAGACACCGTTTCTATGTCCACATAGGTGAATGAAATTTGACTTTGGAGTTGGGGATGGTAGAGAGGGAACCAATCAGTTGGAAATGTGATAAAAACGTTGCAAACATTTTCTTCGATAAGTAAACAAACACGGTGAATATTCACATGGGAAAAACCAACCTAGAGTTGTAGCTAAAGGTAAACCAACATTTTTCTTTTATGACAAGTGAACCAATAAGTAAACCAACATTTTTCTTTTATGACAATCAAAAAATTCTTCTAAAAGAGTTTGGCAAAAAAAAAAAAAAAATTTCTTAAAAGTGCTTTTGGCTTTGGGACATAAAAACTTTTTATGAAGAAGCACATGTCAGGTGTTTTTTGAAATAAGCGGCGTTGTCGAAAGGGAGTAAGAATTAAATGCCCAAGTCAACTGCCGGCTCCATACATTTTTTTGTCCATCTTTTAACAGGCATTTTCGAGGACTAGCCCGCTTCCATAGAAGAATTCCTTGCACACTTTCAATATACTTATAATAAAGTACTTATGAGCAAAAGTGTTTTTTATAAAGTGTTTATTAGATTAAAGTAGTTTAGAATATCGCTTTGTAAAACAAACAAAAAAATAGAGTTCAAAACTATTATGTCTCTGTGCACCCGGAGTTCTTTGTTTATTTTCCTCACCTCGCCTATATAAAAAGTCATGGAGCTTTGAGAGATGCGTGTATGACTGGGTTTGGAGAGCAAACCGAAACCATGGGTTTAACTAAATAAATGGGCTTGAAAACGGTCTTAGGCCCAAATTTGGAGAGTTATTTGGGTGTGGCCCAGTGGGCTTTGATATATAAGAATTATATTGCATAAGGTAAGTATTTCATTTGCTCATTTCAACTAATAAGCTGAGACCAAAAACCAAAGGGAAGTTGAGAAGTTTCTGGAGAAGGGAAAAATGGGGAAGCAGCCGGTGAGGATGAAGGCAGTGGTGTACGCGCTGTCGCCGTTTCAGCAGAAAGTGATGCCTGGTCTCTGGAAAGATCTGCCGACGAAGATCCACCACAAGATCTCCGAGAACTGGATCAGCGCCACCCTCCTCCTCGGCCCACTCGTCGGCGTCTACTCGTAAGCTCTCCTTCTTCTTCTTCGAATCTTCCTTTTTTTCGTTGATTTTTATATTCATATGAGGTAATTGATCGAATTTGCTGGATTTACAGTAAAAACTAAATTTGAAAGCTTTTTCTTTTTGCCACAAAAAATTGTCAATCCCCATTTCACCAATCGCATTCTCTCTCTAAGTTTTCCCAAGATATGATATTAGGGTTCAAGGGCTTCACTTTCACAGCCATACCGAAATAATTATTTGTTTAGATTGTAGCTGAGGAATTCGGACGAAAAACTGGGAAAAAGAAGGTGGCAGCTTTTGATTTTTAATTATTTTTTTTCACCGATGCATGCAGTCTGTATTTTTATTGGATTTTATTACAAGTCGTCGAGTACATATTTTTTGTTCTTGGTTTTTCATAATCAGTTGATTGTGTGTGTGTGTGTGTGTGTGTGGCCTAAAATCTTTTCACACTATTTCATCAAATTCTAGCAAACATTAGCATATGATGTAAATAAATGAACTTAGCTAAGTTGTGTATAAGGCACAAATAAATGGGATTCTTTGTTTTGATTAGGCATCTTGTTCGTCAGTAATATATTTGTTTCAACATTGCAATGTCAGACCAATCTGTAATTGCCCTCTTCTTCGTTTCTGTCATCATCGATTTTACTTATTATTTGCTGTCTAAGTCCCCTTTCCTATTCTTCTTCCCTATGCCCCCAAAAATGTTTTGATTAAATAGACCATATTTTTTTGTTCTTGTGCTCAATTCTGAAATGCATGCAGGTATGTTCAGAACTACCAGGAAAAGGAGAAGTTGGAGCACAGGTACTGAAGCTATGCATTCAGTCAATAGCTGTTGAAATTGCCAGAAGAACTGTAGTTTTTCTTGTTTCTCATGCAAATAAGTTTGAGTATTTTTTTTGGTTATTGGTTAAACTTGTACTTCAATGTTGAGCTTTGCTACTGGGAATTCCAGTGTATGTCTTGACTTGTACTCGTTAAATTGACAATTTTTTGGGGGTATTTCTAGATTGATGCATTGGTTTGGTGCCAAATTAATAGAATAATGCTTATGGCTTATGTGCCTGCAACACAATACATATCTAATGAGAATTGAGATGTTGACATTATTGTTTGCCATTTCTTTGTTACACTCTCGATTGTGAATTCGCTTTTCATTCCTCCTTTGGTTGGTTATTGCTTTTGCTTTTCCATTCCTTTAGGCCTTCTTGTCTTTGCGCTTGCTCCCCCCCGCCTGTACAGGTTAGGCCCCCCACCCCCCTCTTGGGCTTGCTCTGCCTTTGGGCTTTTATGAAGTACTCTCCCTGACCCAAAAAAAGAAAGAAAAAAGAAAGCCATTGACCATTGTGATGCAATATGGATGAAGCTGTGATCTAACTATGGCTATTTACGAAAAATCTAGAATTTGCCAAAATCAGGGTTGGTAAGTACTCCAACTACAAGGCCTTATAGCTTAAGTAGTTAAGAACATTTACCCATGCATTCTAGATTTTTAGTTCAATTTCCATTCTTCTAATATCGTTTGCATTTTTTAAAAAAATTTAAAAAAATTGTGGTCTACTGAAGGCTGAAGCAAAGCTTCTTACTCACTTCCTCATCGAAGAAAAAGTGTCGAGATAAATTCTAAATACGTAATCATTTGTAAATCACGCAGAAGACCAGAAGACAAATCCAAATTAGATTTGGGTTTGGGCTTCATTTTATGGTTGGGGCCGAAGTAAGAACAAAAGTAAAATAAAAAAAGGAGAGAAGAAAGGTAACAAACAATTAATCAAAACGACGTCGTCAGCCATAGTTAATTTGAAATTCAAACGGCGCACTTTCTTACCTTGTTCAATGCACACCAGGGTTCAACTTCATACTGCTCACCTTGTCCGTTAGGCTGCGCAATAACTCAACACCTCACTCTCTCTGGTTTTCTGAAACGGCGACGTTCTCACTCGATCAATCGGATCTTGCTTTTTCGTTGTTGGGTCAATCCGATTCCAAGCGAAAAATGGTAGCTGCTGTCGACTCATTCACCGCCAACACTTACGAAGAGGCTCGCAACCAACGCCTTGAAGAAAACAAAAGGAAGTTCCAGGTCTGTGTCTGCAATCCCATTCATATCTTCTTCTTCTTCATTTCCAAAAATCAAAAAACTTTTCTTCCTTGAACTCTCATTTGCTGCATAATTTTGGCTGATGAAGGATTTGGGAATTTCAAACATTTCGAAGACTTTGACCCACTTGACTGCTTCTCCGAACAAGTCCCAGGTTAAAGAAAAATCTAGACTTGTTTCCATCTTCTCATTTTCCTATATTGTTGTGGGTTTTCATTTCAATACTTGAAAAAATTTAGAAAGTTCGTATCTTTATGGTGGTACCGTGCTACAGAAACGTGTTTCAAGACCCAAGGCAAAAAATACCTGTTTTGATTTAGAGCCAAGACGGTCTTCCCGTCAACGCAACCCAATCCAATCGTATCGTGATGATGTAAGTGATGCACTCACAACTGGTCTATGTGTGATAAGCAAGTTTTGATTTTGAACCATCAACATCAATTTATGGGAAAAAGAATGAATGGATTTTTGCTTCCCATTGCAGGTTGACATAGGCCTGCCAACTTTGAGGAAAGGGTCAAGGAAAACTTCATCTTCATGGGGAAGGTAGGATAGCTTTTTGGCTGTTGAATTCATGTTGCTTTATTGCATCAATTATTTAGCTGTTTTGGTAGTAATTTTGTGAAACTTTCAGCTACCTTGCAAGGCCTATAGAGGAAGTCAGAGCTGCTTCTTATGAAGAAAGGAGTGCTGCTTTTAAAGCTGCAGAGAAGCTTCAAGAGAATCTACAGACTGAGAATCCATCTTTTGTCAAATCGATGGTTCGGTCTCATGTTTATAGCTGTTTCTGGTTGGTAAGTTGCAACAAAAAAACTTTGTTTTTAAGTACTGTCGTCATTACTTATTAGTGGTTTCGTTTCAATTTCAAGGGGCTTCCTTCAAAATTTTGCGAGGATCATCTCTCAAAAACGGGGTCGGAAATGGTACTAGAGGATGAAGATGGCAATGAGTATGATGCTGTCTACATTGGCAAGAGAGCTGGGCTTAGTGGGGGCTGGAGAGGGTTTGCTTTGGAACACAAGTTGGATGATGGTGATGCGCTTGTGTTTGAACTGACTGAACCCGCAAGATTTAAGGTACGCTTAAATATATATTAAACAAAATTGATCTTGCAAGAGCTTGCCCTCTTATTAAAATCAACTGATTTCTACATATAAACTACCGCTCGATCGATGTAAGCATATCTAAATCTAGGAATGAAACATTTGAGGAATTAGACACTTCAAATATGTTCTTAGGTAGTTCATGCATAGTACCATTCCATTATATGTTGAGGCTTAGGCTTGAACTGTGTAGTAATTAGACACTTCAAAACATATTCTTATCACAGTTTTCTTTTCTTTTTTGGACAAAATTCTTATCACAGTTTAATCATAAACTTTCAAGCTCTGATGATTAGATTATCGTTTATTTATTTTTTCAGTTTATGCCCGTTTTAAGTCATCAAATGCATCATTATCTGATGGGGCTTAGGCTTGATTTGAGAATGTATGCTTTCTATATACTTATCTGGACTTCTTTGAAAGGCCAAATATTGAACTAGTAGTTGTCACGACGGCAGATCTACATAGTTAAGGCATACCCCATGCCGAGTCTAGAAAGTTTCAAAAACAATGTGGACAAAGAAGAGATTACCAGTGCTGAAAAGACATCAAAGGCAGCCATGAAGACTGAACCAGAATCAAATCAGAAACGAAGGTCAAAGAGAGGTATTGTGCCTGAGATGGATGAGTCTCAAACTTCCCCAGAGTCAGAACCAAATCAGAAACGAAGGTCGAAGAGAGGTACTGTGCCTGCAATGGTTGACACAAAAACTTCCCCAGACTCGGAATCGATTCAGAAACGAAGGTCAGAGAGAGGTGTTGTGCTCGTGATGGAAGACTCAAAAACTTCCCCAGTCTTGGAACCAAATCAGAGACGAAGGTCAAAGAGAGGTATGGTGCCTGAGATGGATGACACAAAAACTTCCCCAGACTCAGAACCAAATCAGAAACGAAGGTCAAAGAGAGGTACTGTGCCTACAATGGTTGACACAAAAACTTCCCCAGACTCGGAATCAATTCAGAAACGAAGGTCAGAGAGAGTTGTTGTGCCTATGATGGAAGACTCAAAAACTACCCCTGTCTTGGAACTAAATCAGAGACGAAGGTCAAAGAGAGGTATGGTGCCTGTAATGGATGACACAAAAGCTTCCCCAGACTCAGAATTGAAACAGAAACAAAAGTCAAAGAGAGGTATCGTGCCCGAAATGGATGACACAAAAACTTCTCCAAAGGTTCTGCCAGATAGCCCCAAAGGTCAAGAAATCGAACAGGAAGTCAGCCCGATGAAGAAGAATGAAGTTGCTCCTAAACAAATTAGAAAGAAAGCTAAAGCAAACAGAGTTCGTAGCACAGAAAATCCAGAAGGTTGTGAAGTACAGGAAGCAAGCACAGAAAGTCCAGAAGGTTGTCTAGTCAAACAGGAAGCAAGCACAGCTGAGACGGATAGTAGAGTTGTTAAAGATGAGAAGGAATGCGTAGCTAGGAAACCCAGAAAGAAAGTTGTAAAGGAAAGGCTTTTCCGAAAGAGAGCATAGCGGTAGAAGGCTTCATAACTTGTTTGACATCCCAGCCTTCGGTTTACGAAACAATGACGGACTTCAAAATCTGTTCGCAGTGTACTTACTCCATTTCTTCATGTTTTTAACTTTTTAACTTTTTAACTTTTTGAAATAGCCTTGACAAAACTTGAGAATTAATACGGAATGCAAGGAGGCAATCCATGACGGTTCAATTAAATTGTTCAATTTCAAAGTGAAAACACCAGCACTATGGTCTAGGGGGAATATTTCTGTTACATGTGTTACGAGTGGTTACCGGTTGTTAAATCGGAAACCTAGATTTACTGTTAACACCATTAAAACTATAACATTAAAAACTCTATCCAGCAAAAGATCTGTACCCAGTTATTCAAGTACTTCCATTGCATGAGAAGCTATAAATTTATTGTTGATATACATATATCATTTTACCAGATATGAACATCAATAGAGACTCACAACATAATAAGCCAATTCATGCAAAGTAACAGCATTCTGATAACATTAACGATAACCAAAAACTTTAATAAAAATATCGAATACACAACTCCAACAGAAGTTTGCCCAAAATTCTAAAATCTTAAACAAAAGCTTTCAGGAAACATTTCCAAAAACGTACATAATCTAGTCAACAGAAATCAAAACAGAAATGTAGTATGGATTTCGCTAACACAATTTCTAATGGAAGTTGTGTAACATGAATCAGTTCACAGCAGCATCAATGAATGCTCCTCCAGGACGGCGCAAAGCCAAAGATCCATGGCATCCCAAAAGCTGCAAGAACCAACATAAATCATTAGTTCTTGGCATTGTCAAATGAAATCAAATTAAGGAACTACAAATTATAATAAAAATAATAATTTGTTAGAAATAAACAAACCTTGGCATTGACACCATCAGGAACAATACGATGCTCTGCCTTCAACCTGACATAGTCAGCTCGGCTGAACTTGGTAAAGCCCCTGAAAAAGTAACACATCCACAAAGTTTCAGTATAATATGGATTAATTTTAATTCTACTTATGACAAAAAGTTTCTTCAACAGAACCCATGATATACAACAAAAATGCAATCAAAATCAAAAATTCGATTTTGGGTTTCAAGTCAGAGAGTGCAAAACCCATAACCCATAAGCATAAAATAAGAAACAAACTCAGAAATGAAAAGAGTTCGAACATACCATTTCCTGCTCTCAATGATCTTTTGACGACCAGGGAACTTGAACTTGGCACGGCGGAGAGCTTCATGAGCATGGTTCTTGTTGCTGTCTTTGCAACGAACAGAGAGAAGCACCTGACCAATATCAACCCTAGCGCAAGTACCCAAGGGCTTCCCAAAAGCACCTCTCATACCAGTCTGAAGCCTATCGGCTCCGGCACAAGAAAGCATCTTGTTGATCCTGAGAACATGGAAGGGGTGAACCCTAACTCGCAAATGAAAGGTGTCCTTTCCGGCGAACTTGGCCATGTACTTGTTGCAGGCGATACGAGCGGCCTCGAGAGCTTCACTCGAAACGTTTTCTTTCTCCCAAGAAACGAGGTGGATGCAGAAGGGAAATTCATCCACGCCCTTCTTCTTCATACCCACATCATAGATTCGGATCTTAGGGTCCGGAACACCACGGCAGAAACGGGATTTCGGGTAGGGTTTGTTCTTGATCTGGCGATAGCACCTGGCTGGCCTTCGTCCCATGGCGACTGATTTCGGCTGCCCAAACCCCAATTCTCGAAATGAAGAGGGTAGGAGATTGAGGGGAGGCGTTTGTGATTTATATATATAGTCCGATTTTCTGAAGCCCTAAGGCGATTGTCATCTGTCGGCTTCTGCGTATGGGCTTACGTCATGTGCCCATGGGTCGGCTGGTCCATGGACTTGGCCCAAATCAGTGTTTTGGGTTGCTTCTTGGACCCGACTCATGTTATCTAGGACTTCAATTTAACCCAAAAATAATGCATAGGTTTCGGGTCAAACTGTACCATCATCCAATTCGTCATGGTGGGCCATACCTTCTATGCACCACAAAAATGCCATAGATTGTAAAGGGTTTATAATTCAAGTGGTTAAGAGCAGTTATCTATGCACATGACACGAAATCTTATGTTCGAATCCTCCTCTTCTATATTTTTAAAATATTATATTTAGAGAGTATAGACATAAGGCTATACCTTTAAAATATTCCATTTTTGGAGTATAGCCGAGTGGCTTTTAAAATATTCTATTTATAGAGGCTATACTCTTTAAATATATGCCCCAATAATAAAAATATGGATTTCACTATAGGCTTATCTTTTGAGGTGCCCTTTATGAAAATAACACATCAAAAATCCACACTCCTAGATATTTATAAACAAAGCACTATAATGGTTTGGTAAGTAAGTATGGTTAACATTTGAGAGTTGGGATAATATGCATGGCTATAGGCTCGGCTTTGAACTTGGATTTGATTCATTGGGAGTGGTCTAATATGGCAACGTTTGCTGGGATATATATCACCAGACCAAATTTCATTAGGAGAGGTTTAAAAAAAAAAAAATTAATATGAACTAAGTATGTTTAGGTTAATTAATTTTTTAAAATTTTATTTTTAGTAATTAAATAATATCTTTGCCTTATTTAATTAGTTAAATTAGTAATTATTTTTTAATTATTTTTTCTTTAGTAAATAATTAGAATTAAATATTTTAAATTTACTTCATGAATTATATTACTTAAATAGTAGTTAAATTTTTCTATTTTTTTGTTTAATATAATATTTAAATTATTATTATTCACTAAGGGTCTGTTTGGTACACCTCCTTGGATTGGACTAGCTTAAATAACACCCTTAACCCACGTTTGGTGCAGCGCTTCTTTAAATTAAATGAGACTATACAATCCGGGCAACCGAAAAACGCTTCGTTCGTTTGCACAAAATAGAGAGCTCCGTGGAGGTGCCGCTAAATAACGAAGTCATTGTTTTGGACGATCGAGTCTGCCATTATCCAATGTTGCTCTACTCTTCTCTTTTCTCTTCAACACTGCTCTGTCTCTCCTCTCTGGTTCTCCTCTTCCGTTTTGCTCTGCTTTCCTCTGTCAGACCACCACCATCAAACCCACAACGAGCTACAACAGACCCAATCGAATCATCATCATCACCCAATCAGTCAATCAAACCAGCCATAACCAACCATCACATACCCAGGTCAACCACCATCACCACCCAGTCGAACCACCACAATCATTAATTAATGGAACCAGAGAGAGACAGGTTGATTCAATTGGATCTGTGGCAGCATAAAGAGAGAGTAAAAAGGAGGGAAGGAAGAAGATAAGAGAAAAGGAAGAAGAGGAAGAAAGAAAGAAAGATAGAAAGAAACAAGAAACAAGAAACGGCCTGGGAAGAAGAAAAGAGGAAGAAAGAATGAAAAAAGAAATGGGTCAGGAAAGAAGAGGAAGAAGAAAAGACACGAGGAAGAAGAAAGAAACAAGGAGAAAAGAAAATTAATAAAAAAAGATAAGATACTTTTAGCCTTTAAAAAATATTAGAATTTTATTTATTTACTTTTTATTTATTTTTAGGTCCAAAATCCTTAATTAAAATTAAATATTAAAATAATTATTTTTTAATCCGATACAACACCAAACATAGGTCTTCACTATTTTTACAATCCAGCTTCTTAGTCCGACGCATCACCAAACATAGGTCGGTATTTAATCCAGCTTAGTCCAATCCGAGCTAATCTAAGACAATCCTAGAATTTAGTCCAGTCCATAACAGTCCGTCGTATCAAACGACCCCTAAGGGAATGCAACAGAAAATGCAAAACATATTATGAGAGTATGAAAATATTTTACCCTCTCAAAGAGATCTCAGATATTAGGGCTTAGGTGTTCTTGCAACATGGGGATTTTGGGCGTTTCAACCGAGAGAACGGCAGGAGGGACGACACAGGTAGAGGGACACAACGAAGAGGAAAATGAAAGAGATATCAAATGAGAGCAATAAATAGGGTTTTTGGACCTCGATTTTTGAATTGTGTGAGAGAGAGAGAGAGAGCAAGAGAGAGAGAGAGAGAGAGAGAGAGAGAGAAACGACGACGACTACGACGAGGGAGATCGACGCAGAGAAATTGAGAGAGCAACACAGAGAAAGAGTTTGAAAGGAGAGAAATGGAGAGGGCAGAGAAAGACGAGAGGGGGAGTTCGAGAGAAATGTATCAATTATGATCAAAGAAAATAGGAGAAGGTATTGAGAGGAACAAGAGGGAGGCTGAAAAAAGAAAAAAAAGAAAAAAAGTGAGGGAGCGTGAAAAAATTGGGAGGGAGCGTGAAAAAGTTGAACAGCTGTTTAGGAAGGAGAGAGGAGAGAGAACACGTTGAGGGACTCATTCTAGTACAACCGTTTCAATTACAATTGCTTTTCACGAAGTCGTTGGATTATATCCAACGGTGTTCTCATATAAGGTTCTCATATAGCTGTTCTCACTAGATCCTGACCCATTGGCATCTGTCAGCTTCTGCGGATGGGCTTACGTCATGTGCCCTTGGGTCGGCTGGTCCATGGACTTGGCCCAAATCAGTGTTTTGGGTTGCTTCTTGGACCCGACTCATATTATCTAGGGCTTATTTAACCCAAAAACAATGCATAGGTTTCGGGTCAAACTTTACCGTCTTCCAATTCATCATGGTGGGCCATACCTTTTATGCACCACAAAAATGTCATCAAACAAGCCTTGTAAAGGATTTGTAGCTCAAGTGATTAAAAACAGTTATCCATGCACATGACACGAAGTCTTGTGTTCCAATCCTCTTCTTCTAATATCACTTGTATCAAACAAAGAAAAAACGAGTCTTATGTTTAAATATGGCTACGTGCATAAATCGTCCATGTGTGATACAGTAAAAATTTCTCACTTTTACAACATAGTATCAATAGATATCCACTAATATTATAACATATAGGAGTCATACAATGTGACCATAATTCAGTACCACCCTATAACTCTCGCGGGACTAGGGAAGGAGATAAAAGAAAAAGTATATAAGAAAGTTTTGAGAGGATTGAAAAGGAAAAAACATTACCTGTATTGCTGGGATTTTGAACAAAGTAAATATTTTCAGTTTATACTTGAGAAAATGCATAATTCTCCACTAAATTTTCTTCTACTCTATAAGAAAGAAATTTCAATTTCTAAAATGAACTGCTCACTTATTGCTGGGATCTAGAATAAATTCATTCATGGACTTTTCCAGTACAAAATGTTTGCCATGGAATGATTGAAGGGCTAAGAAAAGCACCAAAGTGCAAATCAAATCAACAAAAGCAAAGAAGACGGAGAGTTATTTTGGCCTGAGTCCTTGATTGTTTTGATTGTTAAAGTTTACTAGTTTTACAACAAAAGGATCAAAACAACATGTACTCCTAAGACTCCTCTACCCCTCCCTCATCTTTACAAAATCAGCTGTAATAAGAAAGGCTGTACAAATACAAAAATGTCAATTGAATTTTGAATTTTCCAGAATAATATAACAACTCCGGGAGGCTATAGTTCTCCCTAGGGTTCCTATCTTGGCGTGATTGTCGGCACAACCCCGCTAACAAGGTCACTGCCGGAGACATCTGAAGAGACATAAGGATGCTTTACTGCATTGGATGAGGATGGTGGAGTCATTACCTTTCCACCACTATTACTCATCACTGATTCTGTTGTTCTGCTGTCTGACTCTGGCATCATAAACCATATATTTTCAAGTTCTCGAACAACCTCTGCCATCGACGGTCTCGCATCTGTCTCGTCTTGGCAACACTTGAGAGCCAAACTCAGAAACTTTTCCACACACTCGGAAGGATAAGAGCCCATTCTTCCATCAATTACTGAGAAGATCATACCAGATTGGAATGCAATATTTACCTGAAGTGCAAGAAAACTTGTAACTTTAAAATGAACATCAAAATCGGTGTAGCTAGTCTATTAAATGGATCAAATAACGTGAACTACAAGTTAAAGTGGTCTAAAGTGATTAAAAAGGAATCTATGTTGTTACATACAAAGCACAGAATTATGGTAGACATATATGCTTATTCAAAACACACCCCCGTAAGGTTCGAGGAGTTACCTCTCGAACAATGTTTTTGCCGTGTGAGATTGGCTGCATCCCTGTTAAGAGCTCCAGAAACACAACACCAAGGCTATAAACATCACTCTTGTCTGTTAGTTTATGAGTTAAGAAGTACTCTGGATCAAGGTAACCCTGCAAAATCAATTCAAAGAATAAGAGCAGTCTATCACCTTCCCTATCATCCTCAGCAGTGACTAATTTGCATTGCTTGAAATTAGGTAAGTAGAATCTTTCTGAGTCTTACCGGTGTCCCCTTCACTACTGTGGATATATGAGCAGGCACAGCCCCTTCAAGATCTGGAACTGGAGCAAGTCGGGAAAGTCCAAAATCAGCAACCTTTGCAATAAACTTCGAGTCCAACAGTATATTGCTTGCCTTGATGTCTCGATGAAATATCGGAGGGTTGGCTTCAGTATGGAGGTACAGGATGCCCTTGGATGATCCCAGGGCAATTCTCAATCTCATTTCAAAACCCAGCGGTTCTTTAGACCTAACTGTGACACAAGTATTAATTATATGTTATAGCTTGTCGAATGGCATGTTCAATTTAGAATTCCTTATCTTGTTAAAATCAAAACCAAAATCCCTATTGTAAATTCTTAGCCAAACATTTACGAATATTAAATTACTGCCCGGTAAGAGATGAAGTAAGAACCAAAGACAGTGAAGA